AACACAGGAAAAGAATTTTAAAATAATAGTTACATATACTTGGTATATAGAATACTTAAAAGTATGTTCCACAACACAGAGATAACCATTGCTTAAGTTTTGTGAATTTCCTTATAGTGGCTTGTTTGATTGGTATTTGTCACAGATACATTCTCAATGTATTTCAGTTTTGTTTCCAGCTTTTTAAAATCTCAATTTTATTCTTCGAGAATTTTTTTAGTGTTAATAAAATTTCTTCAAAGAGATTTCCTTTGACTGCATAATTCTTAGTTATGACACATCCATGCCAACAGTATTGTCTCTATTGTTGAGACAAATGCATTGTGCCTGTCCTTATATATAAACATATCTTCAGAGTGTTTATTTCCTTATGATCAATTAATTCCTAAATTGAATATCACCTTTATTAAGAAATATAAATTTTAAAGTAAATCCATTGTCTCTTTTGTTTTCTTTTTTAACCATAAACAAAAAACATAGAACCTATTTCTCCACAACCTAGTACATGAATTTTGATGAAGCAGTAGAATGGGTTGCTTTTCATTCTCTTTTCCTTGGCATTCTTTCTCACCTATGAAAACCTCTATATGCCTCCCTTAATACTTTGAAATTTTCTTATTTCTATAAAAGAGCAAATCAGAATTCCAGTGCAGCCAGCTTGAATCAGTCTTTCTGTTTCTTATGAATAAACAGCTCCTCAGGCAGTGAATTAGCCCTTGGGAAGCCATTGGCATTATGTTTCCCAACCCTGAGTGCCTGCACAGGCAGCCTGGAGTGCCTTTAAACAGAAGCATTGTGTCCGATTCTCAAACCTAAATAAATCCTGTTTTTTATTAATTATAAGTAGTTTTTATCATCGTAGCTGCTATTTATTCTGAGTTACTGCTTCTTCAGAATTTATTATTTGTTTTAGTGAAATTTGGAAATTGATTTGTTAAGACTATATAGTTGGTTCTGGTTTTCCATTGTATAAATGTTAAGAGTTTATTCTTTTTTTTTTTTTTTTTCATTAATCAGTATTTTTTATTATGGTTTTGTGGGGTACAGTTAAGGGTTAGGTGTACAATGACGAGTTTATTCTTTAAAGGAATCCTATGGTGAAGATCTTTTGAAAATTTAGAATATCACCCCTTTTCCTATTTTTGTAAATGTGAACTTTTCTGGTTCTTTTAAAGACAAATATTCAGATTTTATTTCTGGTTCAGGCTACTATATTTAGCAGTAATTAATTTTGTTTATAAACTAGATAATATGATTCCACATATTAACATCCTCTGTATTTTAGTAGGGCTTGTTACTACAAGAAAACATGTTTTTGTATAGATCAGTAATTCTCAAAAGCGTGGTGCCCCCAACCAGCAGCATTAGCATCACCTGAGAACATGCTAGAAATGCAAATTCTTGGACCTCGCCCAGACCTTCTATTTAGAGACTCAGGTAGTGTCAGGTTATTCAAGTAGTGTCAGGTAGTGTCAGCCCGTCAGGTTATTCTCTTGTATGATAAAGTTTGAGAACTACTGCTTCAGACAATGTGTATACAGTGGATTAAAATCTTAGCTCTTCTCACTTGAGGCCTGGATGTGGTTTAATTCCGAGGTACTATAGGAACTATAGTAATAGTGCTTCTAGCAGTTATGTAGATGAAAAACCTATAGCAGGGGCAGCCTCACAAGAGTTGCTTTTATTGTTTCCAGTGGCTGAGATTTCAAGAACTAAGCTGTGAGCCAAGAATCCTTCACTACTGAGTTGAAGCAAATTGTTTCAGTATTTAGTATAATTAGCAGAAGATTTTCCTTTGATAACATCATTTAGATTGTACCTTCTTCCATTACCAAGATACTTAAAATGACAACTCATGAATTTAGTGCTTCACATTTAAAATATGTAAGATTTTCAGAATCAAGGAATTTCTGAATGAGCTGTCTTTCAAATGCTAAGTTGTACATAATTACAAACAGACATACAGTACCTGAAAGATACTTTATTAATATAAATAAGATATATATACTTTTTTTTTTTTTTGAGTTAGCGTTTCACTCCGTCGCCTACTGGAGTGCGGTGGCCGCTCCCGGCCACCACAGCCTCGACCTGCTGGGCTCTGGCAATCCTTCCACCTCAGCCTTCCAAGTAGCCGGAACTACAAGCGTGCGCTACCACACCCAGCTAATTTTTTATTTATTGTGAGATGAGGTCTCACCAAGTTGCCCGGCTGGGTCTCAAACTCAAGGCTCATGGAATCCATTCACCTCGGCCTCTCAAGGTGCTGGGATTACAGGCTGGGCCATTGAGCTTTAATTGATGGCTTATTTTATATAATTATTCACTTTTTGGATAATATCTACCTGCCTGGTTATTTTTAAAATGTATTTTAATGGAAAAATGTTATGTTAATATAAAGAGGGATCCAAAGAAACCCAGAATTTATTTGTAAAAAATTGTGTATTCTTACAAATTTAAACTTATCACCTTCAAAGTACCCTCCATTTGATGCAGTATACCTATTGTGACACTTTTTCCACTGCTCCAGACAGTTTTGGAATTCATCCATTTTAATGCCTTTTAGTGCTTCTATTTTTTGTTTTGCCTCTTCCATATCGGCAAAATGTTTCCCTTTGAGGACTTTTTTCATCTAGGGAAACAAAAAAGTTGCTTGGGATGAGATCAGGTGAATATGGAAGTAGAGCACTGCCATTTTTGGTTAAAAACTGCTGAACATTAAGTGTGGTGTGAGCAGGTACACTGGCAAATCACCCATCACGAAATAGGCAAACATGTTGAATTTCCACAAAAAAATTAACTGAAGCTGAACACAGCCTCTCACAAAACCGCTAGCTTGTACACTGATGCAGTTGGGTCTCTAGAACGCTTACCTAGCAGGGGAAGCCTGTACTACAAGGGGCCTACCCTCCAAAAAATAATTCTGGGTTCTTTTAGGGTCCCCTCATATGTGTATGTGTGTTAATTAGAAAAATCCTCTACTGAATTTAAAAGTTACATACTTTTTAAAAATTATTATTTTAGATGGGTATGGTAGCTCACACTTATAACCCCAGCACTTTTGGAGGCTGGGTGAGAGGATCGCTTGAGCCCAGGAGTTTGAGACCAGCCCAGGCAACATAGCAAAACCTTGTCTCTACAAAAAAATAATAAATAAATAAATAAATTCAGGTGGGTCCTTCAGGGTGGAATATTCACTTTGTAACATGACTTTATTTTGTAAATGAGAGCTCTTGTTACAAAGAACTAGATCTCCTTGCTAAATTTGGGCTCTAAAGCTCATTTTGGTTCTTAAATCTATAGCACTTTTTTTAAGTTAGGAAGATAATTACTCTCAAGAAGTATTATTTGTTTTTGGTGATGTCTACTTGGCATTACCTATAGATTTTGTTCATGCTGTGAATTAGAGATTGACTTGAAAACTATTAAAGGAAAGCTTACAATGTTCTCTTTATGCATACTGAGAAGTAAAAGATTTCCCAAAGCCAGGGTAAAGTATTTCTAAATTTTAAGAGAAAAAGTGTATCTAAATATTATTCGCTTTGTACACATAACTAGATCATATTGTGAACAGTGTTCTATAATCAGCCAACAAAATTAAATTTATTCTGTTATTATTTTCTAAATGTTTATAACTCAGGAATGAGGGAGGAAGTAGAGCGCTTTTTTTTTTTTTTTTTTTGAGTTGGAGTCTCACTCTGTCACCCAGACTGGAGTGCAGTGGCCGCTCCGGGCCACCGCAGCCTCGCCTGCTGGGCTCCGGTGATCCTTCCGCCTCAGCCTTCCGAGTAGCGCGCTACCACGACCGGCTAATTTTTTGATTTATTGTAGAGATGAGGTCTCGCCAAGTTACCCAGGCGGGTCTCGAACCCGCAGGCTCAGGCAATCCACTCATCTCAGCCTCCCAAAGGCACGGGATTACAGGCTGAGCCACCGAGCCCGGCTAGTAGAGCGCATTTTAAGAAGGCTATTACCCAGTCAAATGAGTCTGAAATTTCTAACTAGTTTATAGAAAAAGACGTGGTAAAGAATTTAGTATTGGAAATTGTGATTGTTTATTTAGTCATGGACTTTAGGTGAGAGTAATCAAATTGAGAAGGTGAAGCAATGGCAATGCTCTGAAATTAATCAGATCTTTTTGATGTAGGCCTGGCCATATGCTGATCAATATTCTATAGCGACAATCTCTTTATTCCAGCATTATTTAATCAGTTTTCATATATAACTTATCTACTTTCTAAGCTGAAGAAAATGCTTAAACTGATCACTTTTTAGATATGTAAAATATGCCTAAAATTGACAGCAGGCTATCAGATTTTTTCTCTGAGAACATAATATGTGAAGTATACAATTTCTTATAAAGTATTTAAGAATAATAAGAAATATGTTCATTATTGACTGTTAGTGAACTGAGTCACAATATTACAAGTCTAAGAAATAGTCTAGGGTATTTTGAAAAGAGTTTAGTCAGAAGTAAAATGAAACTTGGAGAGAAAATTTATATAAAACAGATATTTTTTAATTTTCAAATTCAATTTCTAACTAACTACTTGGCATACGGGTGGGGAACCTGATAAATGAAGACTATGTAGAAAAGATTAAAGGCATGTGATTGAATTTCTACATGGAATAAGAAAGTATTTTTATTGTATTTATTTATTTTGATTTTTTTTTAATGTTATGTTTTCTTGTAGAGACAAGGTCTCACTATGTTTCCTGGGCTGGTCTCGAACTCTTGAGCTCAAGCAATCCTCCCACCCAGCCTCCCAAAGTGCTGGGGTTACAGGTGTGAGCCACCACAACTGACTGAAAATATTTTTTAAATGCTGTTTTTCAATCTACCCTAATGTATCATAGTCCCTGGTTGTTTTCAAAATTGGGACATTCCTAATGTAATCTTACATTTTTGTGACGTTGATCTAGACCAGACTAATTTCATTTTGTCTTTATAAACATGTCAAGACATTTTATCTTAGCAAGCAATTTTGTTTTTGATTCTTTAGTTGTCTGAGGGAAACCAAAAGCACGCAAACCTACAGAAAAGCATCGAAAAAGCTAAAATTGGCCGCCAGGAGACGGTAAGTTTGTGGCTGTAGATTATCTAATAATGGCAATACTAAATAGAAGAGCAAGGACTCAGACCTTCCTGTGAGGGGGAGACATTCCTACCAGAAGAGAAGGGGTCACAGCAGAGGGCGTGAATGTTTGACCTGGTAAATGTATTATATATGGCAGCATTGCACAAACACATAAACCCTGAAGCAAGACCGCCTGAGTTTGAAAGTCTCCTAAATTTCTGTTTTCAGTTTTCTTCATTGTAAAGTGGGGAATAATATAATTGACTTCATTGGGTTATTGTGTGGATTAAACTACTTAATAATTTGTAAAGCTCTTAGAAGAGGACCTGGTACATGGTAAGCCCTTTATGTAAATTATTAAAGAGTTTTTGAAAAATTTGGTTCAGAACGTGAAAACTGTCAAAGTATCCTGTGGCCTTGTAATATTTTTAAATAATTTAAATATTGACCTATTTTATTTGTTTCAAGTACACTATTTTCTAAAGTATTAGGTTAGAGCTTTTTAAAAATCACTTCACTTTCTGGTTTCATCATTATCTCAACTATGGATTTATGACTTTAAAAAATACTGAACATCACTTGAGCCACTTAGCATTCCATCTAGGTCCCTGTTTGTATCACTTGATTGTGAAAGAAAGGGACTCAAAAACTTGTCACATTGTAGAAAGAAATACATTGTAGGTTTACAGTGTCCTTCTGCTTTCAAATTTGTTTCACGTATGTTATTTCAGCACAGTCACAGATAGGAATTGGAGAATGTTAATTCCTGAAGAATATTCAAGGAAAGGTAAATTCTGGACATAATCTGAAAGTGTTATCTTTCTTCTTCACTTGACAATAGCAATTACCACTTCTTTATTTGATCCTCTTCTTTCTTTAATACTGGCAATAACTTGTAGAAGCGCCTTCTGCTAACGGTGACATACGCGTGCCCAGAAATTGTCAGCCAGTCTACTTACCCAGTGTTAGTCTGCTGGAACAAGTACAGCTGGGGGAGAAAAACCCTCCAGCAAACCTAGATGCTGCCTGCAGATATCAGAAGGATATAAGAGAGTTCAGGTAGCCTGGACTTTGCAAAAATACTTATCCTCAACTACTAGATACTGTTGTTGGAGATGATGGTGATACTGCTGATGATGACAGAGAAAAAGCAATAGCTAACATGTATATTCTACTTACTCTGACCAGGCAAGTACTATTCTAAATGCATTTCATATATTCATTGAATCCTACCAGCAACCTATGGAGTTAGCTACTGTTACTGTTTCCATTTTATATTTGAGGAATTGGAGGCACTAAGAGGTTAAATAATTGGGCAAAGATTTCAGTGCTAGTAACCATCTAAAATGGCTTCAATTCATAGTGTCTGGAGAACTATCATATTCTCACAGTTGCTCACCACTCTACTCCTGTCTTCATTAGCTTTTTCTCCTCTGAGTTTCTTTTTAACTACAATTCAATTCAGTTTCTCTGTCACAATGACCACGTTTCATATACTCTTAACTACATGTGGCTGTTGCAGGGGCGGCACAGATCTGAAGAGTTCTACGGGGCTGTGCTGCCTAGAGCATGCCACTCCATATTTGCATTCTCTTATACAAGTACTAGCAAAGACACTTTCTTTATTTTGAACAAATGGAACAGCTAAAGACAAAAGTAGAAAAATAATAAATACAACAATACAAGGTAGTAAGGAACCTTAGGCAAGTCTCCTTTTGGCAGCTTGAAGTTCACTTAGCTTTGCCTCAGATTTATCCTATAATTCTAATCTTTGACAGAATATGATTTTTGTTTAGATTTATTTTCAGGTTTCACAAATAAAAATTGAATACCTATAGCACCATGACTTCCTACTAGTGAGAGCTCCAGCTAGAAATTTCAAATGGTGTTTATTCAATAATATTGTATTTAAAAGCTTTTTCTGATTTACCATTAAAGAAAAGTAGTGAGAGGCTTCAAGCTGCAATTTTGTTATTTTAGATATCTTTAAATACTTATAAAGATATCCTTAAAAATTGAAAAATTGTCTTAAAATTGAAAAATTGTCTAGAAAACTTTTTTTTGTTTTTTAAATGGAATCTCACTCTATCGCCCAGGCTGCAGTGCAATGGCACGCTCACAGCCACCCCAGCATCAACTTGCTGGGCTCCAGCAATCTTTCTACCTCAGCCTTCCAAGAAGCCGGAACTACAGGTGCATGCTACCACATCTGGCAAATTTTTTTATTTAGTGTAGAGACGAGGTCTTGCCAAGTTGCCCAGGCAGGTCTTGAACTTGCAGGCTCACTCCCCTCGGCCTCCCAAAGTACTGGTTACAGGCTGAACCACTGAGCCTGACCAAAAACTTTTAAAGATAATTGCATAATGATTGTTATTTTTCCTAAAATATTACTTAGCTACATAGACACAATTTTGTGAAACTACCCAAAAAGTAGTTTATATTTGTTTCCCTGCCAGGTGTAGTGGCTCAAGCCTGTAATCCCAACACGTTGGGAGTCTGAGGCAAGAGGATTGCCTGAACTCAGGGGTTCGAGACCAGCCTGGGCAACTTAGTGAGACCTCATCTCTAAGAAATCAAAAAATAAGCTGGGCGTGGTAGCGCATGCCCATAGTTCGAGCTACTTGGAATACTGAGGTGGTAGGATCGCTTGAACCCACCAGGTCAAGGCTACGGTGGCCATGAGCATGCCACTGCACTCCAGCCTGGTTGATGAAGTGAGACTCCAACTAAAAAAAAATAAAATTGTTTCCTTAACATATGATGACATGATCATCTTAGCATTCTAACAGGAACCTCTCACCTATTCATGACCATGCCATGTTAATTTCCCCTCTAATTATTCAATATATATATAAAAGATGCTTGAGATTTCAGGAAAGATGAGAATCGAACTTGTTCTTATACTGTAATTATATGTATATATGACAAAAGTCTGAAGTACATCATTTAGGAGAAATAAAAAGAAAGTGTTATAAAATTATTACCTTATAATGTATGGGATTTTGTCTTAATTGCATATAAAATTATTTTCAATGCAGGAAGAGCGAGCCATGCTAGCAAAAGAACTTTCTTCACTTCGGGACCAAAGGGAACAGCTAAAAGCAGAAGTAGAAAAATACAGAGAATGTGACCCACAAGTTGTGGAAGAAATACGTAAGTTTATCCACAGCTTGAGGGTCTTTAACCCTCAAGAGGGTTAATGAAAGAGACTTTATACTTCTAATTGCCTGGTAATCATTCTCCATGTATATAACAAAATAAAGCCAGTTAAAATAGAGTTCTACTGTGAGTGCTCTAATTTGTATTTGTAATAAACAATAGGGGAATATTGCCTTAATGTTTCTATTAAGAAGTCTTGGCCGGCTCGGTGGCTCAGCCTGTAATCCCAGCACTTTGGGAGGCCGAAGTGAGTAGATTGCCTGAGCCCGTGGGTTCAAGACCCGCCTGGGCAACTTGACGAACCTTCATCTCTACAATAAAATCAAAAATTAGCCAGGCGTGGTAGCGCGTGCCTGTAGTTCCAG